ATTTTGCTCTTGTCGCTTGTTTTTCTCGTTGCTATGTTCCCGCCAATAACGTAGCTCCATTTTCTGCCTTTGAAAGCACACACAACCCACAATTCGTCTATTCGCTCCGACGAAGGGCTAACGCTCGAAACGTCAGCTTTTGTAATCGTTACGGTTGCCAATTTACCATTTCAACTTTGTTGATTTATCCAAATTATTTCGTTACTCCCACCGACGCAGCCCCAAACAGTTTCTTTGGAAACTATCAGCCTTTATTCTGAATATTTAATTGAATGTGAAACGCGGAGTTCTCACGAACGAAATGCTTCGAATATTGTTCATTCGCATTTAACACGTAACCTTTCTATCACAAGTTAAAACTAATGCTCGAGTATCCACCTGCTAGAGTCTATTTTCGGTTCCTTTCTTCTTATAGTAGTTCTATAGATACAAAGGCTGTATTATTGACTCAAAAACAAGCTGTATTGACATTATGATTAAAACAATGCGATTTCCTTTGCTAGTCTTTTCTCGAATCCATTACCTTTCTGCAATGTTATGACCATAGTTTCATGTTACAAATTAAGAAAAAAAAATGAAAAATTAGAAAGTATTACAAGCATAGTAAAAAGGCATGATATTACAGTTTTGAAAAAGAACTGCCACCTTGAATAATAATGGTTCCAGATCATTATTAAATTATATTCGCCTTTGCCATTTTATGAGATTGCGTAGTTTCAAATATTAATAATAGAGTGCATCTGTCTTTTTAGCTCCTTCCTGATGTCTCTTTTAAAGATTGCGTACGATAAAGGGTTTACAGCGGAGTTTACAACTAAGATAGGTAGTTTATAGACGGCGTCTTCGCATGAGTTATGATGATTGATGATTAAAATGAAACTGCATCGCGCAAATATTATGTAACACAACAGAAACAAAGCTACAACGACTGCCATCATTTTTACTGTCGACTTCCCCTGAGTCTTTATGAAAACTTCGTGGTTAAAATGTAATTGTTTGGCTAAGATTCGAGCAGCTCGCTCGTGTTTGTAAACGATCCGAAACATGGATACAAAGCAGAAGATTAAAATAATGCACAAAGGTATGTCAAAACACGCATACAACCAGCCACTGATCTTATAAAGCAGAGAGGTATTCAGCGTAAAGCGAAGCGATGCTACAAGTGTTATCACCGTGAGAGGTATTCCCCACGCTAAAGAAATTATACGAATGACCCGACGGCGTGTCATGAAAGTTAGATATTTCAAAGGTTTCGTAACAGCGATGTAGCGATCCAACATTAGACAACACAAGTTTGCGCCAGATGCATACTGAAATAACACCCTTATAAACATCACTGAAAGATAGCTGATTGAGGTTGTTGGCCGATTTTTGCACCCATTAGCCAAGATACAGAAGAACTGTAATGGAATAGCACTTATCCCTACGCAGAAATCAGCAACAGCCAAGGAAGCGATAAAAGCGTTGGTTTCGGTGCGAAGCTGTCGTCGTCCGCAAACCAAAAGGATGACTAATCCATTTCCTATCATGGTCAAGACGGACAGGAACCATCCGAAAATCCAAAACAACACGTTTTCCATTTTTTTATCTGAGCTATCGAAGTCTTTCATCAATGGACTCAACAATTCCACGCTTTTTTGTACTTTTTGGCAATTTTTTTGTGGTCATGTTGATCACAAGGGAGTCTTGTTCACGACAGAGGAACCAAATCTGACTTTGAATATTTAAACTGCAATATTTAAAATGTTGTTGTGATCTCAATTAGTTCTTGCGTATTATTGTCATGTAAAATAGTCTTTATTAAGAGCTGTCGACTCTAAACTTATTCACTGTTCCCTTGAAGAGTTTACTAAGTGTACTATATTTAATTTAACTTGTAAGAATCTTGACATCTCAGACTAGAGATAATATTATAATTTCGCAATTTCAGTCGAGTTAATATATACAGCGGTGGCACCTGTAGCTTTTTATTAGGTTTATTTATTCATTTATTTATTTTTTTATTTGAGGATTTGTACCAAATACAGGAGCAGGAAACAGTAGGACATGGGTCCCCTACGAGGTTTAAGCTCCAACAAACCCACCCACAGAAAAAAAAGAACAAACACACAAACGAACAAAGCACCATAGTGGACGGCACGAGAGAGATTTGGGTCGGACCTCAAGATGATCACACGAACCGACCCAAGTCTCTCTCTTGTTTTTCCACTCTACCGTCACACCACTATCGCGCTGAAATTGGAACAAGCTACGTCACAGGAAGGAACAACATACCTTGCATTGCGATTATCAGTCGTTTTACCGAAAAATTTCCCAAGAACCTAATCAGCAAAATTTTCATATTTGAAGCAGGTCTGCTCACTCAGCTGCGTGACTTCCTTAAGAAAAGCTGCAGACGTCATGGGAAGTTGAAGGAAGGTAACAGATCGAAATGACAACCTGACAGCTACATCAGCAGAATTTCGTGACTTCTTCCGTTTTAGCTCGTGATGGCGAAGGGCGTATGTTGGATTTCCGGTCAAATTTGTCAGATGTAGGGGGGGAGATTACCGCACAAAATAATGGCGTTTGAGGGTATTAAGGTTTGTTTTGTCAGTCTAGTTCACCATAATTTCGTGATAGGCAGATGATCAGATGCTATCTACCTATCCCCCCTTTTTTACACCCTCGTGACTTTTAAACACTGATTTAAGAACATTTTGTCTTCTTATCGCTTAAACGGTTCAAGATTGGGAAAGTGAAACACCTCTTTATCATGGAGAAACGAATACTGATGATTCGTGCGGCAACTATTTTGCTCTTGTCGATGGCCGTAGAAAAATCAAGCGAGAATCTTCTTCCATCACTTCAGTTTACACGCGACACGCTGATGGGCTTTTCAATGGGCTCAGAGCGAGAAGTAAAAATTCTCACACCGAAGAAAACCACGAAAGAAATTCCTAATCGTGACAACTCCAACGTTAAGAACACTGGTGTTAAGATTTTTACGAAAAAGTTCATGAAAGGTAAAGGAGGAAAAAAGGTATTCAAAGGAGCTTCTGGACCTAAACCTGGCATATCTCCATCGGGTCATGGCACGGTTATACCAGCGACTCGAAAACCAGTGACGCAAACAGTGATCACATATCAGAGAAAACGAAAGACATACAGACCTCGCGCTACGCCATCAAACAAGTTTCTTGAAGCCATCAACGACATCGAACGCGCTGTTGCGAATGCTAGGGCTTCAGGAGTCCGCTACAACGGTGATACACTGCCGAAATTAAAGAGGCTTATCGTAAGGGCGATCAGGAGCAAAAGCTACAAGTATGCGCGCGAGGTTTTGGGACAGATCATGTATATTCTTAGCTCAAAATCATCGCCACCAAGACGCGGAAAACGGGCTTCTGAAAACAGCGCAAACCAAAGTAAACAATTTATTCAGGGGCTCCGAACTCAGCTTGGAAGCTCGACGTTTGATAGCTTCATGGCTGTTCAGGGAGATGTGTCTCTTATGTTTGTCATTGATGACACCGGAAGTATGGGCGATGAAATTCAAGCTACAAAGAACATCGCAATTGATATCATCAATTATCCACGTCAAGCTCCTGTGGAGTACATTCTGTCACCATTCAATGACCCTCTCCCAGGTGAGTCACGTTCTATCCGGCACTGTTACGCAATATGTGTTTTATGTAAGTAAACCGCCTCCCGGTTAGCTCAATAGATAGAGCGCTGGACTGTTGTGCGGGAGGTCGAGGGTTCGAGCCCCGGCCGGACCAACACTCAAGGTCTTAAAATAATTGAGAAGAATATGCTTCCTTTCTGTAACATCAAGAAATGGTTAGATATTCTAGTCTTCTCGGATAGGGACGAATAAATGGAGGTCCCGTCTCCTGCAGGGTTGGGGTAGGAGACGTTAATTTCCCACACACGAGATTACTGTGTGATGGATGTCCTCCCCTGGGGTGGGATGGGTGGGAGGGTGGACTAGCACGAATGGTTCCTATGTTCCTTTCTAGTCCTTCCCCACTGCAAAACTTAATGCAGTGAAAATGGACTAAATTAAATTAAATTAAATTAAA